GGGCAATGACTCATCACAAACCAGCACATAGGAACGGCGATGGTCTTTGATGCGATAAGTCAGTCTCAGTCAGCAGGGCGGGAGCGTTGCCCAAAGAGCGAAGCGATTCAGGTTGTGGATGGCGGAACAACGCCGTTGTCGATCATCGTCAGGGTCCAGCGTATCGTTGAGTGCTTGCTGGTCCGCCATGGCACAGTCATCAGTGTCTGGACATTTCTATGACGAGATCTGAAAGCGTCTTGAGGCAGCACGTCAGCCTGCTGAGAGTCACAGCCTCCCAAGAGTAGTCCAGACGGAAGAGGTCAGAGGCTAATTCGGCTTTGATGCGGATTGTGAGGGTCTCGAGATGCACACTCCCCCTTGAAAGGCCGTTGGTGCCTGACAGGGTGCTTCCGCGAGAGACTGAAAGGGTTCATTCAACGGCAGAAGCGTTATTACAACGCGTGACTGAAAGAGGCTAGCTAAAGAGCCCGCAACGGGAACAGATGGCGTGGAACACGCATGAGGGCACTCTGACTCCGGCGAGGTGCAGGCTTATTTCCTTGAGTGCCTGGGTAAAAAGCTTGGTCTCATCACAGCGAGCAGTGAGAGGCGCATGTGAGGAGTGGGGCATGGCCACGCCACTCGGGTGAGACCTTGGCTTCAGTCGGTCTTCGAAGCGGAGCCTAGGTAGGACGAACAAGATCCCGTGCCTGCACGCCACACCAAGCCCCTCTCACATTTGTTATGACCGACGCCATCACGAGCCGATCCTGGTGTACAGGGGCACAGGACAATCGATACCGGAACGCAAAGAAGAATACCGCTCGATCTGAAGGCGGAGCTCAAAGCAGGCTCAACGGAATCGTCCTCGATCACGATCGGCATGTAAAGGTGGCGATTAGGGATGGCAAAGGGATCTCAAGAGACCTCGATGCTCCGGCGCAATCGACAATGTTCTCGCTTAATTCGCTGCGTTTGCCGCGGACGAACGCGGTAGGCGGAACCGGTGTCGAGCAAGGCAAGGAAGGCCAATAGCTGCTGCATGGTGTGATGTGAGATCATAAGCTTGAAGCGGTGGTTGACATGGTGCGCTCTACAGACGCAGCGGCTC